GGAAGCTGGAGGAAAAATTCTGACCTCGGTCGGCTAGTTGGCTTCGTCCTTAGTCCTGGATTTCACTTCTTGCTGCTCCTGGCGGCTCCACAGAAACTTGTCACTAGCACTCAGTGGCCGACAGGCGGCGTGCAGCTTGCAGCTTCTTCTGCTGCCACTGACAGCCGCATTTATTTATGCCCAAGTGTCCTTTTTGGCCGGGACAGATGAACCTGGCTTTCAACTCCAGTCAGTAGCAGCCATGTATAAGCCGAGCATTCATTAGGAAGTTATTTTCCATTAGCCAGCAGCTAGCGAATGCAAAATTTCAATATGGAAATATTTGCAAACACGAACCAAACAAAACTTTGAAAGCTAAATTAATCATTGGAGAGGGGCCCTGAGCACTCTCGTGTGTTTTAACAAATATTTAATTATACCTAAAATAAAAGTTTAGCTTTTACCGTCAAGCCAACATATCTAGTAAATGAATCATGGCGGAAAAAAGTTTACCCGACCAGCAATAACACTATTATATAGTTGAAATTTTTATAAATTGTTTATTTTAATCCTTAAACTCTTCTGCATTGATAAGCTTCTGACTTTCTGCCGAGACTACCACTAGGAAAATAAAATACAAATTTCTTCGTTTACAATACAAATTATAAATAACGATTTATCATGGCCTGCAGTGGCTGTTGCATTTGCCAATTGCCCACCTGAATGCGTTCTAGAGTGCCTTCACATCCTGGAGAGGAGGAATTGCCCTGGCTAAGGACAAAATCCCAGCGCTGGATTTGCCCGGCTGCTGAAAATAAATTGCCAATGGCAACGAGAGTTTAGCTTCCACTGAGCCAACTTACCTTTTGTCGTCTGCTTGTTGGATTTCTTATTTTTTGCCAGTCAGACATACATTAGTTGTGTGTGCTGCAGTCGATTTGGAAAATATTTCCGCAATGCATCTGGCCGGAAGTTTTTCCGATCCCCGTTTCCCGTTCCCTAGTTTCCCGTTGGCCTTTCCTGCAATCCTGTTTGCCTTTAAGTTACCAAAAACTTCGTTACCAAAAATAATATTTAAATAGCTCAGCCTTAGTGCAGGAATGGGAGTTTCGAAACGAACTGGAACATAAACTCGGCACATTTACCGCTAATCGCTTCCCCACAGACGCATTAACAATTTATCTTGCCTTATTTTATGCGAAAAGTTTTTCGCCTGCCACGCCCATGTAACCGCATCTTTCACCTTCTGCCTGCGAAATCGAATCCCAAAAAAGAAAACATTTGAATTGAAAATCGTGCTGAGGCCAACAAAAAAAGAAAAATATCAACGGCATGCGCATAATTTGAGCACACACTGGCACAGGCATCGCTTTCCACTGGGAAATGTGAGTACGTGAATGCGAGAATATGGGAAGGGATTGGATAAGGCATTCGGATATTTGGATATTGTGTCTGGCCTCTCCAAGTGACTGTGTGTGCATGTTTAGGTAGACCTTTGGGGATTCCGATAAGAGAAATGTATATTTTTCGGAGGTCTTTGGTTCGAGAGGAGAAAAGTTCGATCTAGGTACGCTTTGTTGTCTTGAGTGCCAGAGGGAGTCCTGGCAGATAGAAAGACTTTGGAGGAATGGTTCTCAGGCCCCCTCTAGAAAGTACTTATGAAGTACACAAAGTAATTTCCATACTAAAATATAAAATGAAACAAATACTGAGTATGACTATTTTATGTTAGGGAATCTGTACTTGCAATATCAGCTCCAGTTGTTGGCACTTATCGGACATATTGCTGCATGAATCAAATGATTTGTGATTTTTTAATTGCATTTGGCTATTATTTTATTTCCTATGAAAAAACTAAAAATTTATAGAATAATAATAGAATTATAATAGAATTTTACGGATAAAGTTTCAAGCAGGAACCATCCCTGGTTTCAAGTGATCGTTCCCACAACAATAGGTGATATATTTTATAGTTCATGACAGAGCTCTTGGGGCCTACCATAATAATATATAGATATGTTGACACTAGCATCGCCAGCTCAAAATGCTGATGATTATTTTTCTGTAATTAAAATCAGTTTTAAAGCTGAGCTCATTAGTGAAAGAACATATATAAGGGGCTTCTCTCTACAGGCCATTAGAAAAAAAATGTGTAGTGTTAGATAACTATATAATTTTTTTTGAAACTATTAAATATGTGATTTTAGTACACAATGGAAATGCCCCACAATCAGAATGAGCAGTATAAATAATAAAATAGGCACAATTTCCAACAAATACCTTTTAAGCTACCTGAGATTATGTCGCATAATATGGTAAGTTCTTTGAAATCCATTTAGACCACTTATAGTCCACTGATATTTAGCAATTGAAATTTTCGCAGCTGCCAGTTGCCATGGATTCAATATTGGTTCAGTTCTGGTCTCTTCCAATCAAATCCAATAAATTCGTAAAATAAAATGTGCCAATAAATTGCTGTCCCCGCCATCCGCCATCAGCCATCCGCAAGCTGCAAAACTGAAACTAAAGTTAAATTGAATTAAAATTCAGAGCGCTTAATGTGGCACACACTCTCGCATACTCGTATACTCGCAAACTGGCACACATGGAGAGTCTTCACATGTCGCAGATTTTTCAATAAACTAAACAATTTACGAAAATTGAAGTTTATCTCAATTGTGCAGCTGTTGTTGACAACGTTCGCCATACTCAAAGCTTTGTCGCGTTCCCTTTCGGCCGAGAACTCAATTTGGCAATAAACTGGCGCTCAAAGCTCATGTCCTGCCCCTTGCCAACCCTTTGGGGTCCTCCCATCGGATCCCTATGTAGTATAAGGCACGAACCTAGTATCCTTTCCCCCTCTTTGTGAAGTGGTGCACAAATGCGCTTAGTTGCTTTATTGGTCAAGCTGTTGTGCGTGGATAAAACCCTTTTAGTGCACAATTGCTATAAATTCGCTTGGCCCATTATATTGCGAGAGGAGCTGGGGTAAGAAGCAGGGGGGGCGGCGTGGGTCGAAGGGTCGGCTATTGTCATGTGGGAAATATATACGAGCATCGAGCAGCAGTCCAAGTCGATGTCGATTGACGGAAGAGCTTATTTTAATCTCATTTGACAGCCATGAGAGAAGAAAACGGACGGGGGGCGAAAACTATTTCAAAGCGAACAGCTGTTGTTGTGCTGGCCATTTGATAAACGGACAGGGTCACAGGATGGCTGGATGACCCCCTCCCTGGCCGCTCCTGGACGTCTCGGGCATTCGCAATATTATGTCCCATGATTAAGTTTGAAATTTGCATGGATCGACCGGCCTGACACATTTTGATGACCCAAGCACTTGGTAGCTCTCAGGCCGAGCCGTTTGGTGTTAGTTTATTGTCGAATTGGGTTGCCCATTCAGTCCATTTCTGGTAGTTTTCGCACATGGCCTCGTTTTTTTGCATAATTAAGATTAGGGTTAAGGAAATGGTTCGAGGTTTTCGGGGCTGGTTTGGCCACTCGCTACGACCTCTAATTGGAATCCTTTGTGCGTTCGTTTAATGGTCAGTTTGGCAGCAAAATACTTATGTGAATGAAATTTTAGGACTCCCAAGAGTTTAAGTACGATTAGTGCGTTGATGGAAGCTGATGTGATCATTATGGAAAATTGTTTAGTCATGTGCACATGCTTTAACCATAAACGCTTTATTTTTGTGGTCATGGCGAATAGTTCTCCGATATCCAATTATAATTTAAGAAGGGATTCATAAATTAGGAGTTCAACAAAACATTGGTTAGTTTTAAAGCTAAGATAATTGGTCTTACGCAGACACTAAAAACTGATGATCCAATTGAATGTTGAATAGAAATCCCGCAAACCTTTGATTTTCCACTACCCTTCGGTTATGGGCTCAGTCCAGTCAGCCTAATTGCATTCGTCCTGTAAGGAGCTAGAAAAAATGGCTAAAAAGCCAAACAAACAGACGGAGTTCGTAGAAGACGAGCAGCAGAAGGAAAAATTCATTTGTGCCTGCGGCTCAGCTTAGATTGTAAGAGCCCGGAGGCGAAAGTTACTGGCAGGAGCAGCACCTTGGCCATCTCAGTTCGAGCCAATCCACTTCAGCACCTCGGGCTCGTGTTGCGGTTTGGTGCTTGTTAATTTTGCAGTGGAAATTGCTTTGGTATTTACTGTGCACTTGGCCAAAGGAGCATTGCGGAGATGCCTTTAAGCCCGCCTGCAATTCCCCCGAGGAGTGGCTTCACGCTATTTACCTTTAATCCTCAACCATCCTTCTAGTCCACCCATCCTTTCTACCATCGACAGCTGTTAAACATTTTCACGTGCAGTCTGGTGCTGATGCTTGATTGTGTTTGCCATCTCGACGGACTAATCAAGACAGCCACTTAATGCCACAAAGTATGCAACACGAAATTGTGTAACCCACTTATCTTTAAACTAATTTGTTCTCCAGCTTGAAGTCCTTTAGAGTCCCCTGTCCTCCACCGGCCTTATCAGCCATGGACCGCCTTCTTTATGACGGGGCATTTCATTACCAAGCCACAACGCGACCGTAAAACAATGCAGCATAAAAAGTGACCCCTACATTTCCGTCAGCGAAAGTACTTCAGGCGAATAAAACAAAAGTAACTATAATAAATGTTTGCAAATAAATTGTGAGCTGCTAAAAACGCACTCGCACAAAGGAAACTGGAATTCGTTTTCCCCAATTTTTGTTGCCTTGACATTAAAAAAAAATATTAAGCTCTTCAGAGAACGTTCTTGCGCTCGGAGGACAGAGTCTGTTTTATGTCGAGGAATTTGTGAAATTTTGTGACTGATGGCTAAGGGGAATGTCTGTCAGTGTCTAGGGGCATTTTTAATGGTCAGGGGGAAGTTGTAACTGCACGGAAGACGCTTTCCCTTAGGCTTTCTAAGTATTTTCCTCCTCATATTTGTTACCCGCAATAAATCACACAGATCACTAACTTTCAACTCACCTATAAAATCTAAATACCAGCCCAGATTTAAAAACATTAGTTTATATTGTTGCATTGTATATTATTTTGGGTGTCACTTGGATATACAGTGGACAATTTTTTTAAGAGAGGCGTAGGCCCTACAGGTTCTCTAGTTCTGGTCGATCATCCACCGAAGCGAATGTTCGTCCAGAACTATGGAGCCTTAATGGCATAAGGTATCCTCCGTCAGTTTGGGTGCGCAATAGCAATTGTATTCTCCGGTATTCGCCAAGAGTTCCTCCAGAAACTGACGCATTGTTTTCTTCTCAGCATTCCGAGTTACCAAACGTTTCTTAATCAGTCGTCTGACCAAGTCCCTACAAAATAAGGTCCTAATGTTCTCCTTATTGGCCTGCATGTTATTCCGCCGCCCTAAAGATACGAAAGAAATGTTTCTGATTCACAAATCGATTAGTTGGGGCACTTACTAGCTGCAAAGTTCTCGTAAACTTTCTTGATGTGTGGGTCTCTGATTGAATTTTCATACACCATGAAGGTACGCTGTCCGGCAGTGCAAATCTCCTTGTTTATCACTCCCTCGCCAAATATGAGGGCCTCTGCATCTGGACTCGGATATGGTGATTTGAAGTATCTCTTAGCGGATCTGAACTCTTCCCGCTTGTCGTTGATATAAGATCTCTTCGCGGCTATGGCCGCTCGCACTCGTCCATTGTGGAAGCGGTAGCCAAAGGACCAAGACAGGTCCTCAATACGATTTAGAAGACTGAAAAAGTTAAAGGTTGAGACTCTGAATCTGTATAAAACTTTAGAATGTTGAACATACGCAGACTCGCGCAAGGAATAAACACCCGGCAGCTTATTTTCATGTTTTATTCTGAAAAGATTCCTTGCCAGCTGACTAAGCATATCCTCGGCGTACTGTAGTCGCAGCATCTTCATTGCCTGGAAGTCGTGGAGGAACTGGCGCGTTTTCCAGCCACGGAAGCTGGCTTGGATCATCTGGGCCTTCGCATTATAAAATTTCATTACCCGATCTTGCAGCAGATTCTGAACTACCTCGAAGAATAGATTGCGTACCTAGGAAATGCATAAAGTAAAGAAGAATACTCAGTATTTACTTTTGATTATTTAAAATTATACTCCCACCTTGTAGCCTCGCCACCATTTAGCGATCCTGGTGGCAGCCTCGTTCTGTTCTAGGAGTTTTTGGCGGGTGAGAAATCCTCGAAAGAACCTTTGAATTGTTCTGGCCGCCTTGTAGTGCTTGTATTCCAGGAGGGCGAGGTGGATTCGCCAGGCTGGACCTCTGGGTGGTTCGAGTCTAGAGGAGGGTTCGTTTAAGGACTCCTCCATGTTCTCACATAGCAGTGACCCCTCCTCATCATACTTTTGGTACATCGACATTTTACTAATATGTCCCACCTGGGTGTATGGCAGAATCATTGAGGAACTGTGTGTGTCTTAAGTGTTTGGGTTTATTATTTTTAAGGTATTATGTTGCATTAGTGTGTTGGAGTGTTTAAATGTGACCTGTGTTGTGGCATATGGATTAATTGTATGACGGATCTTGAAAATATTGCTTTCTTACTTTTATTTGCCTAGTTTTTAAAAATAGATTTTAAGTATAATTAAAATATCTCAATCCATTACTTTTTGCCAACATTTTTTCCAACTAAATCACTTGCCAACTTATCGTGAATAATGACGGCTCAGCCAAAAATATTCGGTTATTCGATTCACTTTGAGACTCTTGGAAATGACTACCCAGTTGAACCTCCACAACTTCGGCACACATAACATGACTTGAATGGGATGGGAACACCCATCGCTTTTCGCTTTCCCGCCGTGGATGTCTCTTTATGAGACAGAACCTCCAATCAGAGGCGCAGTCAAGCTGTCAGTCAGTCAACAATGTGCGAAGAGGGGTCCTGGGTTCCTTTCAAGCGCATTTTCAGCTTAAAGGATTTACATTGAATACTGAATGCTGATACTTCATATCAGTTTAGTTTTCGTTAGGTTGCTCCCAACCAACCACCAACCAAACAAAAAAAAAAAGGTTAGGAAATGGGAAAAGAGAACGCAGGGTAGACAGAAACTCACTGCGAAAATCTTCGATTTCCATAAGTGAATTTTAGCCATGCACACAGCGTCGGCAAATCGAATCGCAGGCATGTAAAGTAGGCTGCCACCCGGGCGCCTTACACACATGTGCGCCACTGTCCCCGCCGTGGCGGTCGGAATGGTGTCATGTACGGAATGTGAAAATCGTGTTGTACAATTTCATGGCTTGGCTTGTGCCAATTTCCCATGTAAAGTCAGTCGGCTTTCACTTCCGGTGGCTCCAAAGTCTCCCGACCCCTTCTGCGGTGGGGCTGTGCGTATTTGGTTTGCTAATGGGCAACATTTGGATTTTCAAATCAGTTGGAAAATGCACTGAGCTTGTGTTTTTTTTTCGCCCCCACGCTGCCAAAATCTGCGCTCCGGAGTCGTTGCAGCTTAAAGTGTCCATCAATGATTCACTCCCAGAGGATTCTGCGGCTCCAGGGCGGTAAATCTTGGCGGGGATATTGAATTTGACGATGACAACTCCAATCGGGAAAGTGTCACACAAAAAGCCATGAGATCTGTTAATGCTTATCGACCTTTTTCGTTTATTTATAAGTTTTAATGGCCAAATGCCTTTTCTTTTTAAAAATAAAAGCTTTTCTTCTAATCTTTATTTTTCTCTAAACTCAATTTCTTTTTCAGATCGAATCAAATCACAAAACTAGTTCAGTCCTCGCCCTAGTTCAGTGAAATCATATAAAATACACAGAGTTGCAAAGTGGAGGAGGAATCGAGGAAAGCCGGAAATGAATATGCAAAAAAGGTAGAAGGGATATGAAAAATGCAAATAGCCAAATCGAGTTCAATAAGAAATGCAGCTAACCCGACCGTATTTACACAATTCGACATGCATGGCAGTGGCAGGGCATGAAGCTGGAGCAAAAATCCGAATACAAATGCGACTCACAGGGCAGATTGCTAATTGTGGCTTACTGGCAACCCAGAGGAAGAGGCAAGGACATACCCAAGGGTGGGAATAAAAAATGCATTAAGTGCAACCGCAAAACAGAGTCAAAAGAAAAAACCAATCAAGCGTCGAAAATAAAAGGAAATTGCACATACGGAGCAACTAAAAACAAAAAAACAAAGGGACGACAAAACGAGTTAGGGAATGGAAAAATTGATTTTTGTGGTCTGCAAAACGGATATTGATCGTATATGACATTAAATCGTATTTGAAGTACGGCGTGCTGTTCAATTATTAACTGATTTTTCAATAAACAAATACAATTGTGGGCAATACAATCAAACAGAATGCAACGGTCAGCGATTAAACTGCGACGACTTCTCGTCATTGCCGCTGTTTATTTAGCCAGTTTGCCAGGTGAGTGTATTTAAAACGCAATCCAAATATTGTAACAGCCCCCAATCAATCAAAAGCCTTTTTTTTATAATTTACTCTTACTTTGCAAGGCTTTAATTTGCGAGACTCAATTTACCTTAAATAATAATTGAAATTGTGGCCCCAAGGAATGGGCTTTCAAGCTGCCCACACACCCACTCACTATCCACATCATTTGCGGCTAAATTATCCTGTGGTTACCATTCCTGAAAACACCGGATATGCATCGAGCTTTTATACCCTTGCAGTGGGTTCTATAATTTTGGTCAAAACCCTATTTTTAGGGGATCCTATCACGAAAAATGGACAAAAAATCGAAAAAAATTTTGTCTCGGGATTTTGATGCAGATTCGTGGCGAATCGATCCAGAAATCATTTAAGGTACCTCGCTTGAGAATCGGTTAAGAATTGGGGAAGATATAGCAATCACTGTGGACCATATAGGGAAAAACCCCATTTTCGGGCATCCCATCACGAAAAATGGACAAAAAATTGAAAAAATATTTTGTCTCAGGATTTTGATGCAGATTGGTGGCGAATCAATCCAGAAATCGTTTAAGGTACTCCGCTTGAGAATCGGTTAAGAATTGGGGAAGATATAGCCATCACTGTGGACCATATAGGGAAAAACCCCATTTTCGGGAAAAACGAAAAATGGACAAAAAATTGAAAAAATATTTTGTCTCGGGATTTTGATGCAGATTGGTGGCGAATCAATCCAGAAATCGTTTAAGGTACTCCGCTTGAGAATCGGTTAAGAATTGGGGAAGATATAGCCATCACTGTGGACCATATAGGGAAAAACCCCATTTTCGGAAAAAACGAAAAATGGACAAAAAATTGAAAAAATATTTTGTCTCAGGATTTTGATGCAAATTGGTGGCGAATCAATCCAGAAATCGTTTAAGGTATTCCGCTTGAGAATCGGTTAAGAATTGGGGAAGATATAGCCATCACTGTGGACCATATAGGGGAAAACCCCATTTTCGGGCATCCCATCACGAAAAATGGACAAAAAATCGAAAAAAAATGTTGTCCCGGGATTTTGATGCATAATGGTGGCGAATCGATCCAGAAATCGTTTAAGGTACTCCGCTTGAGAATCGGTTAAGAATTGGGGAAGATATAGCCATCACTGTGGACCATATAGGGAAAAACCCCATTTTCGAAAAAAACGAAAAATGGACAAAAAATCGAAAAAATATTTTGTCTCGGGATTTTAATACAGAATGGTGGCGAATCGATCCAGAAATCGTTTAAGGTACTCCGCTTGAGAATCGGTTAGGAATTGGGGAAGATATTGCCATCACTGTGGTCCATATAGGGGAAAACCCCATTTTCGGTTATCCCATCACGAAAATGGACAAAAAATTGAAAAAATATTTTATCTCACGATTTTGATGCAGATAATTGGAGAATCGATCTATAAATTGTTTAAGGTACTCCGCTCAAGAATCGGATGAGAATTGGCGAAGATACAGCCATCGCAGGGGGCCCTATAGGGAAAACCCCTTTTTCAAGGGATCCCATCAGGAAAAGTGGACAAAAAATTGAAAAAATATTTTGTCTCGGGATTTTGATGCAGAATCGTGGCGAATCAATCCAGAAATCGTTTAAGGTACTCTGCTTGAGAATCAGTTAAGAATTGGGGAAGAGATAGCCATCACTGTGGACCATATAGGGGAAACCCCATCAGGCGCTCCCTACTATACCCGACTAATATTTTCAGTCTTAACCGCAAGGCTATATCACTTCTGCTTCGCCCGAGTTTAGCCTTTCTTTCTTGTTTTTCAATAATTTACTCGTACTTTGCAAGGCTTAAATTCTCCCATTCAATAATATTTTAAGTCTCTTCGTTTATAATAATTTAAATTGCGGCCCCGAAGAAAAGGCTTTTAAACTACGAAAAAACCCACTCACTATTCACATTATTTGCGGTTCAATTATCCTGTGGTTACCATTTCTGAAAATACCGGTTATGCATTGAGCTTTTTTGTGTGTGTTTTTTGGTAGCAACAACACAAAAATAGCATTGAACCGCAGTAGTAACACAATTCAAAGTAAAACAGAAGCGGAAAAAAATAAAAAAAAAATATACTTACATTAAATTAATTGTTTGAGATTCTTTACAAAAAACTCTTTTGACTACAAAACAAAGGGTCTTTATACAAAAAGTCTTCTCCTAGTCAAGTCATGTTAGAAAATCAGCTGACGCAGTATAACAATCGTCTTTTTAGAGTTTACAAAAGCAGATATAATTATAAAGCTTTCATTTCTTACCTCAGGATTCTTTAAGTCCAGTTGATAAAAGACTTTATTCCAATTGAAAAAGCTTTTCATGTAAATTGTGAGTTGCCTTCTACTTCGCCAGGTAATTTGCATTGGCCCATTGACTTCCATTGTTGATCGACTTTTGCTCTATTTGGGACATAATAAAGGTTCTGTTCACTTCTCTGGCAAGTGCTCTCGCCATTTATCTTTAGAAAACGCGTTTTATTAATATTTTAATATATCTGGCTCGCTGCAATTTTATGTTACATAGGGCTGTTTGTTTGTCACTTTCCCTCCGCTCTTCCCAGAGCAATATGAATCGGATTTAATTTCAGTTCTCCGGGGCCGCCAGCAGCCGCCATCTCCGTCTGACACTTCGGGCAAAATGGCTGCTGCAATGAGATGTCGCTTTGTCTGCATTTCCGGCAGCTTTAATTTCATTTCATATTCCTTTGCTGGGCGTCTTTCCCGGTCCTACCCTTATCCCTCCGTCCTTCCATTCATTGTGAGATTGGGGCATAATAAAGTTGTAAAAGAAGCGCTCATAAATCCCTAGAATTTTATATTAAAAATTGAAAAATTCGAGCAGTTCTCTAAGCCGAACTTGAAAGTTGGTCCGCAAATTGACGGAGCCCCAAAATGTAGGAAAAGCGGATGCTAGAGCAGGCAATTCATCGCAGCAACTTCCGGTTCCGGTCTCAGTGAGATCTACGCAACAGCTTGATTTTAATTCAGAGCCGTCTCTTGACTTTTGACTGGCATGTGGCCAAGTGACGTGCTCTTAACTCTGACCCCTCACCCACTTCCACCATTTTTCACCAGTCTGGGCCAAGTTAGTCATATTTCTGGGCGCAGCCCACTCGAAACAAAGAGGCAACTGCGACATGGCTTTTAAACATTCCAATCACGTTCCGCGGATCCTTCACTAGACACGCATTTCAATGGCCAACATTCAGGCGAGATTCGATTTGAGCGTGTCTGGGTGTATGAAACAAAATGTGACTACCAAACTAACACTGCGAGATGGGCCAAAAGAGTCACAACGATACGGAGACTCTTATAAATGGTTTAAAGTACAGCAATTTTTATTATGATGCATGGTTCCTAGGCCATAGTAGTAGCCCTATAACTAGGTAATATTCAGATGGGGAGATGGGTAAGGTGGAGCCAAAATCTTATTTTTGCCTACTAACCAAATGGCTTTAAAAATGAAGATCCTCATTAATGTGACTTCCTGCCTGAATAAGCTTTTGGTTTATTTCCTCAAAGCATAATCCTTATTCCTATATTAAAAACCATCATGTAGCTTTTTAGTGAAATAGATGAAGCTGCAATTTGTGCCTCGTTTCGCCAAGTGTGGCTTATTAGTTCTGATGTTTTTGCTTTGCTGCCACATGCTGGGGAATCCGCCAACGAAAGGACGACGAATGATTTTCAGCTCTAAACTTCTGACACCCACACAAACATGGACATCGCTGTCAGCCACCAACCCACACCCCACTATAGGAAATATGACCACTTTTTCTGGCCAAAAATAATATCTCAAGAACAAAACAAGATATTTAAGTTCTGATTTTTGATTTGAGTTCACATGGCCAATAGATTTAAGATTTTAAAAAAATGTGGGCGTGGCACCGCCCACTTTTTAAGAAACACATTCTAACTCAAAAACTATGCAAGATATTTAGATTTTGATTTTTGATTTGAGTTTATATGGTCAAAAGAACTCAGAAATGAAAAAATTGTGGGCGTGGCACCGCCCCCTATTTAAAAATAACATGCTAACTGTTCGGTTTTGCGCTGGTCTCACAGCTAACAGATTCACAGAGAAGGTGTTGAGGTTGCCTCCTTAAATTATGAATTTCTTCGAAAGTGCAAAAAAGGTCATATTCATATTTCACTCATTTGAAGAAAATTAAACAATCTACAACATGGACTAAATTACATTGTCCGACTCGGCCAGACTTGGTTTAAATCTCTTTTTAAAAATGTGATTTATTTCTTAAAATTTCTTTTGCTAGACTACTTATATTTTCACTTTATTAAAAAGACAACACAAGTTTTTTGGACACTTCACATACACAAACACATAATACAAACCACATTGAAAAGTATTCATTTCAAAACTTTTGATTTTGTTCATAAAATTTTCAGTATTCGCGTTTTTAAAATGGCACCAAAAAATCGTAAATTCTAAGCTCATGTAAATGTTAACATCAACAGCTGTTTTTAACAGCTGATTTCTTCGCAGTGGCGCCATCTATGAAAATTTCTGGTATGCAACATTAAAAATTAATCTATTTTGAATGATATGCAGTTAAAATTATTTTAATCTTTCAACTTTCAAAAAATGGTTTTTGGCCAGAAAAAGTGGTCAAATTTCCTATAGTGCACCCGCACACCCACACATACTCAGTGCCACGTAAACACACTTGTTGTTGTGACACGCACGCGATGCATGCGGCGGCTGCCGGAAATGCCAAGCTCAACTGTTGGCATGTTGATGTTGACGCTTTGCCACCAACACAGGACACCCCCAAAGGCCACCCCCTTTTGGGTGGCAGCACCACCCACCAGGCACCACCCGTTTAGCTGACATTTTTGCCAGCGTAATCACGATTAAACTGTCAACGGCATACTAATTAGATTTTTATTTTTATTGCGCCATGACAACGCCGCGTGACGTTGCCGCCTCCTCTGTACCGCTTCTC